CGAGCTCTTCACGAACAAAGAGTCCTTTTAACAACTCTAATAATGTACCCATAAGACAATAAATATTTTAGCAAGATTTAAAAATTATTATTTATATTAAAACATCATTTGAATCTAATTTAATAATTTTTATTCTATTTTCTTAATCAATATTTTAATTGATTATAAGTCTTTGTAGCCTTTTAGTCAATTAGGATTTTTTAAAATACTACTTAATATATATATATATAAACTTGATGAGTAGTATTTCGAGCCAAAACGAGCTGAACAAGAAATGAACACATCTTAGTTCATGTTCGGCTTGTTAACTTATCGAACGAAATTAACGAGTCGAACACGAGCTATTCGCGAACAAAGAGCCGTTTTGACAGCCCTACCAACATCCATGCTTAGCCCAACTCAATACTATAATCCATAACAAACCTTATTACAAAAAACTAATCTCCTCCGCTGCAAGAGTAGGTGAATAATTCTCTTGCATAAATAGTCTTCTTAATGGATCATGAAGACGCACCATATACTACCATCTCAAAGCAAGAAGAAAGCTAGCTACTCCCTAGTGATATCCATCACAACATCCATTTCCGAAGAGGAGAAAGATACAACTAGCACAATCTACTAGGTAATGAAAATTATCCTTATAGCAAAACCTATTCTCACAAGTGCCTCCGATGCAATGAAAATTACAAATATGATTTTAATAATCCCTTACAAGGTTCAATTACAAGATAAACACAATATGATGGAAATAAGTTTCATAAAAATTAAGAAAAAGAAAGGCATGTCAAAATGATCCAAACAAAGCTTTGAAATGATGATGAACTTTAATCCTTTGTCCAAATTTTCTTTAAATGATCTCACAAAATTATCTAACTTTTTCATATTTTTGTATTAATTATTTTTCTTGTGATATTTTTTAGACATATTTCTATTAATACTATTAACAAAATGTACAACCGTGGGACATAGATATTAAGAGTAACTTAATTAAACATTGGAATTCAATTATAATCTGTAAATTTTGACATTATACTATATGATTCACATCATATTTTTTTATTTATATATTTTTACTATTTTTTAAAATATTACATGTATGGTTGGGGTTTTTAATTGTTTATCCACCATAAATCTTAAATGATTTCTCTCTAAATAATTAGACATGACATTCAAAGAAAAATATACTGCATAGAGGGATAAAACATTATCTTAGAATAGATTTAATCACTCTCATGATGATGAAAAACTCAATGATTTATGGGTCTACAAAATCAGAGTTTTTTCCCTAACTTATAGGCGAAAGATAAGATTTATTTTATTTTGGGATCTGGTATCCCTACGAAAGGAAGCCCCCTTGTAGTTAATTACATCACAAGAGTCGATTTAACTCATATTATGCACAATTGAATGGTAAGTGTTTGTGAGATGATGATATTGAAGACTCAAAATAATAGATATAAGATTAGAGTGACTTAAATAGGAATCAGAAGGATTTTGATGATCTTAATTGGGATTTATTCACTTGAGTTGGAAAACTTTAGTTGGTTGAGTTTAATTTTATCTGAATGTCCTTTTTAGAAGTTGTTTGATAAGAATATGTTTAAATTTGTTTAAGTTTATTGAAAATCATTTATCTAAGTTATTTAAAATTAATTTTTGTGTCAATGTTGATTAAAATTATTAGGTTTCTTCTAAGTTCTTTTCAAAATTTATTTGAAGATAATTTAAAAGATTTAAGATTTATTAATGCTTATTAAAGCTGATTAAAATTATTTAAAGTTTGTTAAATTTTGGTTTATTGAAGCTTATTTAAATTTTTTTAAGATTTATTAAAGTTCGGTAAAGTTTTTTAAAAATTTGAAATTTATTTAAGTTTGTTAAAATTTGTTAAGGACTTATTTAAGTTTGTTAAAAATTTTTAAAATGTGGTGGAATTGATTTAAGTTAAAGTTAATTAAAGTTTATGAGGTTTAATTAAAGTTTATGAAATTAAAAGTGATTGAAGTGTATTAAATTTTATAAAGTTGGTTAAAGTTAGTTGAAATTTGATTCAGGTTTATTACATTTGGGTTTGAGGTTTTAAGTTTGGCTTTGGGCATGAAAACTTGAGATTGAATATGAGAATTTGATATCAGATTTGGAGTTTAAATTTGAGTTGGAGTTTGGAGTTGCAATTGAGTTTGAGCAATAAGTAAGTCGAATTTAAGTTTGGAGTTGTATTTGAGACAGAGAAGTCAAATTGTTTTTGAACTTGGAATTGGGTTTATATTGGATTACAGCTTGTTAAATTGAATTGGAGTTTGAAATACATATGAAATGGAGTTCGATATGAGTCTGAGTGTGATATATGATTGAGTTTGATTTAAGTCCTAAACTAAGAGGAAGGATAGGCTAGAGGGATTTCAAGATGGAGATGAAGTCATAGTCTAAAATAAACCCAACTATCAATGATGTTAATAAGGTGAACTAACCTAAAATTTGAAAATAACATCCCTAGTCAAGATGTTCATGGCTTTCCTTTGCCTCGAGAGCATTAGGATCCTTAGATTATTAACCAAATGGATAATACAAGGTATCTCTTATTATCATAGCAATGACTAAGGTAGACCTTCCTACTATTTAGAGGTTTGGATACCTTCTTCAATAATCACGAGCAAATTCATTTGAGGGTACCCACATGATTCGAGGGTAGATTATTTTTTTTATAGGTGATAGTCCTTAATACCAGCTATGGTTACTTAGTAAACTATCATAGCCTTCTAGACTAGACCAATATTTGGTGAATGTCCTGGATTTTACCTCTACGTTGACTAACCTGGGGTTCACAGGTTGAATCTACTTTTTTGGTGGTTGTAAAAATTGAGAGTTAGTGAATTTTATCATTTTTAGGGTTTAATAATTAACTCATTATTTGTTTTATTTCCTAACTTATTAGTCATGTGTAAATCACAATTTCTTCTAAGTTTAGGGTTTCATTTTCCTAGTTTGATGTTTCGTGTGATAAATCAGGGTTTTGCACTAAGTTTAAGTTTAGTTTTTAATCCTAAGTTGTTGTTCTTTGTTTGACTCTTTCTCTTAGGTTTTACCTCTATTGTTTGGTTTAATATTCTATATTTGAGTTTCATATATCAGAGAGTTTAACTCAAACTTTTCATGTTTATACTCTTCATATTTAAGGTTCATTCACATGCTTATGAAATATATTTTCTTTGACACTTGGAAAAAAAATTTATACAAGGTTTTATCATTCAAAGAGTGTTATTGTTATGAACTCACTTGCATATGGAATGTGAATACTTGAAATGGCCCAAGACTTAAATGCTAAAGGTTTAAGCTTATGAATCACATTCTTCTGAAAAAAATCATGTTCATTCAGGAAAAAAACTATACTCATGAATATGTAAGTCTTGCTTAAAATAATTTACTTCAAGAGGCTCTACAGAGCTAATGGATGCTTTTAATTAGTAAGCTCATCTAAAAAGAAGTTCGTTTATCGAATTACTTGAGGTTGTTTTTTCTTAGTTGACTTTATTTAATTTATTTCTTAAAGTTTAATAAAGGCTTTTAGGTTTATTTCCTCAAAAAAATATGAATTTGAAAAAAAAAATTAGCTTAGAGTTTTAGAAGATGT